AGCCCTCTAATCATAGCACTGTCAGCCACATTTCGGGAGCCAATTCCGAGAGCCTCCATTTCATCTTTTAGTTTGAATGCTCCTTGTATATCTCCCACTCTGCACATACCAGTAATTAAAGTAACATATTGTCTATTAGTAGGTATAAAACCCTTCTCCAACATTTCAGGCAGAAAAGTGAGGGATACTTGAAAGTCATATGTCCTGTTGATGCCTTTTAAGTATGGAACCGTAAGTGTCTCCATCGGGCAAAATTCCAAGAGAATTCATAGTATTTAAGAGATCAAAGGCCTTTCCCATCTCACCATTGCTGCTGCATTTGGTGATTAGCATGTCAAAAGTACGCTTATCAACCGCTGTACCTTCCATAACCATGTTTCTCAAAATTTTCACGGCAATGTCCAGCACACTTGACTCGCAAAGCCCATGAATTAGAGAATGGCATGTCAATTCATTCGGAACAAAACCTTTCCTAATAAAGGTATTGTATGTTGCAAAGCATCTTGGTATATCCTGTTGTTTTGAATAGCCACGTAGGAGAATATTATATGTAGCCAAACAAGGGCATAAACTTCCACCTTTCATCGTAGAAAAGTAATTGTTCACCTTTTCTATGCACCCTATTCTGGAATAGCCATCTATAATTACATTTAGTACAACTGTATCAGGGTTGATACCTTTCTTTAGCATCTCTTCAAAAAAATAAGCAGCAGTCTTTGGCTGGCCTGCTTTGAAAAGCCCATCGATCAAGCACGTATACATAACATGGTTTGGAGAGAAAGATCTTTCCATTGCTTTTTCAAACAGTAGCATTGCAGCAACCATCTTGCCCTTTCTACATAATCCAGCAAGAAGATTCGCATATGTGTACCTATCAGGGAGCACGTTATTGGAGATCATCTCATCCAAAAGGATTATTGCCACTTGCAAATTCCCTGATTTACAGGCCTCAGCCAGCAATGTGTTGTAGACAACAACATCCACACAGCAAGGGATGTAATGGAGTTTTACTCAAGAATTTTACAGCCGCTTTGAAATGTCCTCCTTGGCAGAGTCCTTTCAGTAAATTCCCATATGTATAATGACTAGGGTGGTGACCCATCTTAATCATTTCATCAAACAAGGAAAAGGCTTTCAACCCATTGCCTACTTCTCCATAGCCATTTATAACAGTGTCTAAAGTAACGCAATTAGGAACTGGACCGATCCTATTCATGTGATGCATGAATTTCTCAGCCTCCCTTACCTTTCCGGTTCTACAAAGAGAAGCTACTATTGTGTTGCGTGTGAAAATATCCGCACCATAACAATTCAAATTCATCACCGCATACAATTTCAATGCTTCGTTAACATTTCTCTGCTTGCAAGAGTTATATATTAACATACACCACATGATATTGTTTAGTTCAAGTACAAACCTACACATCTAGCATATTATCTGTTTCACATTGTCTCTCTTTGCTGCTCTGCAAAATCCATTTATAAGAACCAAATATGTGATAACATCCGGACTCACACCATCCTTGAACATTTTATTGCTTTAGTCTTGTATTTCAATACTTCGCATGTAGCCTTGTCCCAACTTGGTCTTGAACCCGCCCCACCCTTCAAGAGATTAGAAAGGAGATACCATTCAAATTAATAAGTTTACAGGTGCCATTATTCATTGCAAATTTAAATAATTATTTCCTTTAGTTTCGAATCCAGAGGCATAGACAGACAAGGAACACATATAGCAAACAAGTGGATGAGACTATACTTCCTGAAGGATTGCATGCTATCCCATTGACATCGTTCAAAACCTACAAGTTTCTAAATAAAATTAATAACCAAATGGATAAAAATTTCTTGACATTAGATGTGAGAGAAGAAAGCCAATATAGAAGTTTATGCTCTAACAACTGATAAATAAAACAATTGTAAAACGCCCAACATAGTTCAAATAATTTAATTTCAAAGGAGAGGAGAAAACCTAATGTTTACACGGCATTCATCACAGGATTGAATGCCTGCAATGCTGGGGTCACATGCATTATAGAGAAATTTATCTCAACCAAAGCCAAATCCTTCACTAGCTTCATGGATGGCGAGTAGCAAGCGCTCTTGAAGCTGATCCTTGGAAGTATACTCGGGAAGGTCTAGTTGGTTAAAGCTGGAAAAACCCGACATAAAATAACATGTAATCAATCATTTTGCAGCAAGAAATGAAGTATAGATATAGTCTCAAGTCTTAAACACCGCATCTATGTCACATGGACTAGTCTGGCTACATGTGGGTCATGTCAACACGTCACAAGACATAATGACACAGGCATGGGATCTGAGTTGGACATGGCACTCGTTATATCGGATATAGCTAAGCAAACTATCTCGGTAACTAGGGCTGACATCCAATGAAGTGCAAAGCTACTCTCCAAAATTTGTAATGGCCTCATGTGTATGGATTCGAATAGATGCTTATTTAAATATAGTTGCAGGGGAGGGGTGAGGGTAAGGGTGTGTATGTGCTAGTGTGCCTGTTTCTCCAGGTTCGGTAGAACAAATCGAAATGGAGATGACACAGGCTTGAACAATCCCTCACTGACTGTCTGATATTTTTGAGCGGTCATAATTATCATTAAGTCCCACGCCATTCAACTTGCATCCAACAATATCGTCACAGTAATTTTAACCTGCATAAAACATTGACATAGAGTGTCACTTGTTCCCAATGTTTCGCCTTACCCCTACCCCAATCTTTGATCACTTTTCGAATGAATCCCATTATGCTAAGATTTTGTGTTGAAGAAGGTCCAACGCCTAGACGTGTACCTATACCCGACACAAAGCACCCAAGTCCATGTAACATACCACTGCTTATATCAATTGATCTTAGCACTGACCAGGTACGAGCTGATGGCAGGCACTCAGGAGCTCCATATGCCTTGTGAATCTGAAACCTTTGGGGACCAGAAATGCCTTGCAATGCTTTAAAACCCTCCAAAGGAAACTGAGAAACCAAAACACAGGTTTAATGGCTTTCGGAATTATAGAATTCAGTAGAAGCTCGCTATTATACTGAAAAATCCATGCAGTTTCCTACACCGTCATTAGATCAGTCAGCTAAACCTCTTTCAACAAATTGTTATCAGCTCAACCGGCCACAGCGATTTAATCTATCCCAGGATACATCAATCTTGTATATGCATATATTACGTGAAACATCCCAATTCCCCAACAAGAAACCTCATATCGCACCACAAGGAATTGGCTTCAATGTACCAAACCCCCTCTGTGCAAATATGAAAATGGAATCAATAAAGTCAATCAAACTTAAGTCTAGGCATATCTCGAGCAACACAGACCACATTCAAGGAACAAAATTTCAAGATTGAATCGTTCAAGGTGCTTTGAGATATTTCGTGATGTTTTTGGCACTGATGTTTCAGAATGTTTCAATATATTTAAATTTAATCAATGTTTCAGAATATTTTGGGCACAAATACTCAATATTTTTTTTTTTGCATTCCATTTCTAAAACATTTTCCAAACATTTCTATTTCCTAGATGACAAAATAATGCATCGAAACAAAATTTTGACATTTGACATGGAAAAGGCTCAAAAAATCATTGATAGAATATCAGTAACATTTATTGGACATCAAACACACTAATCCGTCTTCATTCATCATAATGAAATACAACATTCCTGTAGATAAGCCAGGATATTTGTACAGATACGCTGGGGGAGACAACAAAGTCAGAGGTGGAGGGGGGGTTGGGGTTGGGGTTGAGGTTGGTTGGACATCCATGTTTAATTATTCAACTGAGCATAGTCCCACAGCCTCCTACACGGAATAAAGCCCAGCTGTCCACAGAAAGGGCAGTAAAAAACAGCAAAAAGGTTGGTAAAGAAGCAGTTCCAAGATAATTTTGGACAATGTAGAGAAACAATATGGTTTCAGGAGTGATGATATTAATGTCATGCCTCGAGTTACCTTTGATGTACCAGTTACAAATTGTAAGAATCTTGCCATGTCTTCCTTGTTAAAGGCTTTGAAAACCTCCCAAAACCACTGAACAATAACTGATGCTGCTGTGTAGCCAGTATACTCGGAGTTGGCCTTCAGATCATCGACTGTAATTAAAGTCATGTCACTCGGATATCATTGTGAAAAATAATTATAAGGCATACATTGAATAAGTGGAAGGTAAGCCGACTCACAATCAATTTCTGGAAGCCCACTGATTAGTAGCTCAAGCTCTTTATCATTAAATATGACCACACACTGAGTTCAAGTACCCCCCTGGGGCCACCAAGAGGAAATTATCCTATTAATTGCCCAATAAGGGATCGGATGACTGCATATGCATTGGACGATTGGGTGCTCGAAGAGGCTCAAATATGTCCTTATATGGAAAAGCTCACACAAGCAGACTCAGAATCAAGCATCAGAGCCCTGTAAATTAAAAAAAGCGCTAAACAATGGATGAACACAGTAATTGTGCACGAATTTGTACTTTCATACCTCTGTTTTCTCATAGAGAAAGGGTTTTTCTTCATCCGCATCCATTCTAAATGTCAGATCGGGGATATCACTTGCATTGTTCTGAAAAAAAGAAAATTTTAAAAAACTGTCATACCCCCAACAAAGAATGCTGATGTCAGACCAAGATAGACCGAATTACTAGAAATCACCCACCTCCAGCATCCACTTCAAGTTTTTGTAGTAATCAGGATCAACAGCTTCAATATCATGATAAGTCACTTTTACTCCAAGAATGTGCTTGTAAAAGGACCGAGTGAAATAAACATCCAACAGTTGCCCATCAAACAGTGCCTCAGCAACCTATAAGAGGGATTGTGATACAGACATTAAAATTAAAACATAAGAAATGAGAATAGACACCATAAAGAAAATCCCAGCTCAGAATTCAAGGTGACCACAAAAATTACCACGCGGCCAACAAATTTGAAGTATGAAAGATGTTCAGTCTGATAGACAGAATTAGGGTTCGGTTGGAAGGTTGCATTGTTTCCCACAGTTGTGAAAAGCAAAGCTCCTTTATCAAATATAACTCTTGACAGTAATTGATACCACTCTCTCGTCAAACCACCAGCATCAATACCCTCTTCACCCTGAAAATGCACATTCAAGCGTCCCTTCAGGTCTTGATTTGGTCGCATTCGCAACTGGTTATACGAGTCCTCTAAAACATATGCCCGTCGAACGCTAATCCGCAGTGGTCCAGATAAGTGTTGTTCATGCTGCTGCCTAATTCTTGAGCGAAAATAAGCCCTTTTGTTGTCAAAATCAATCAGCCGGGGGGCTTTCAGCATCATACAAAGTGATTTCTCCAACAAGCCAGGATTCTGCCTGACAAAAGCATTCAGCAGCCGGCGATGCTTCTCAGCAAACCTTGCAAATGTGACAGCACCATCAAGCCTCCTCTGAGAATCCACTCCACATTTCATAGACAACGGAGATGAACTCCCTGCGAACTCCTTGACTTCTCTTGCAGTTGAGTAGGAGGCATGATCTTGCTGCATGATGGAATTGTTTGCTTGTAGTTTTTCACACAAAACAAAGTAAGCCTCAATAAAAGGCAAGAGTCTCTGGGTTCCAGGAGGAAGAGGAGGAGATGATAGAGATGGAGAAACCTGTACTTGCTCCCCAACGTTCATATTTGACATAATTGGTGAAAAAGAGCTCTGTGCCAGCTCTGTCTCGGTTGTACTTATACAGTCACTCAATTCTTGCCACAATGGCTCAAGTGCAACATACAACTTCCACAAGGTTGCATGCTCATCCAGTTCCTCACCACTCTCCTTAACCTTATTCCGATCCACACTAGGTGAAGAGAGTGAGCTGAGAGTCTGCAGAACACGAAGGATTGCAGCCCCAGCCATTGATCCGGCACTCAAACCCAGCATGTGTGTATTCCTTAGTGTGATAAGCTCACTGACGGCCGAGTTGCTCAAACTATGAGCTAAATCTGAAAGCTCCATAATAAAGAATTTTCGATGGGAAGCAGCAACCAAGGCCAACTTTTTCAGCACCTCCCCAGCAAGCGTGTAAAGTTTGTCTGAGAGCCTGATTGATAAAAAGACTGGGTTACACACTCAATGAGTGCAACAAAATACTAGAAGCAAAGAACAAAAAGAAGTGGAAGAGGTAAGGAATTGGAAATACAAGGAAAAAAATTCAGATTTATTGAGAACAAGCAGGCTTTTACAAACAGAGGCTTGTAGTTTTTTGTTGTTTTTTTTTTTTTTTTTTGGGGGGGGGATACGTATATTGTCAGAACTCAGACTCCAGAAATAATACCCTTCATGGCCAAGAAGGCTGCACAGATTGTGCAAATCAGATTGTGGCATCTGTAAGAAGATATCATACATATTGGTGCTTCTCTGTCCCTCTGATGTATGTAACTCACCACTGGCACCTAAATCACCTTGAATAGCTTCCATTTCTGACAAAGGAGGATCTTTTGGTACATCACTCACAGTTTCATTGCCAGATAGATTTTGAGAACTGACTACAGCTTGTTCTGAATTAGATTGACAATCTAATTTTGATGCTGCAGTATAGACAACTACTTGGAGCAGACCCATGACCTGCACCACATGAATATTATGAAAACAAATAAAATAAATCTGAGAAAAGAGTAAAATGCAAGCCACTTCATGAGGTTGATGGATAGCACCATTTTACAGGAGCTCACTCACACCTGTTCAAGATGAGCAATGCTGCGCAAGAAAAGCGGTTGACTCAAGAGTTTGAGAAACAGTATCACAGGAACATCCCCCTTCCGAGAACCTCCTAAAGAGTCTGACGAATATCCTAGTTCCACAATTTTCTCCTTGCCTTTACCCTTCTTGGTTTCCAAATATTTTTGATTTGATGACTCTGGAATAAGTGACGGATCAAAGTAAAACAAGATATTGGCAACCGCAGAATGATTGGCGGCCAGATAAGTCAAAATCTCAAGAATACGACGCAGCACCAGGGGAGGCAGACCTGCAAACGAACAAACTTGTGAATTAGAGGTCAGCATGTTCACTTATTTCGGGAAAAAAAAATCTCTTCATATAAAAATCAAACAAATGTTGTCAATCTAAAAGCAGTAGGTACCGTCCAACAACTGAGATTGACCATATACAACATTGGATTGACAACCATATAGCCTCTGGGAGTTAACTGTCAACAATCTGCCAACTGGGCCTTCAGTCTCTGGCCCAATCATGTCAAGCAGAAGGCGAACTAGAATTGCCCTTGTACGGCTATGTGCACATAAGTTTAACAGAAGTCTCTGCAAAAGGCCTTTCCCAAGAGGCTGCAAGCATATTAAAGAAATAAGATTCACCACTTAAGTTGAACATCAACATAGTTTACAAAATAAATATATGAAAATTGTTTGCCCAACCAAATTAAAGAAATTATGCAGACAATTTTGTTCCAGGTTCTAACTGCAATAAAAGTTCCAAAAAATCAAAGTTCTGAGCTATTCAAAAATTTATCAATTTACAATAAGAAGTTATTCACATCAGGGAACGCCATGGCTGCATCATCTCGACCAAAAACAAAAGTTAACATGAAACCAAAGCCAATTATCCTTGTTCATTCTTTCATAAGTAACAAGAATTAACTAAAAGATATTAAGAAGTACCAGGTTGGAAAAATAAGAGATCCTTCTTCAACCAGAAAAGGCTGAAAGCAAAAAGAAATGTATTGTCCACTAAAGATTTTCCCCAAAAAAAACCCCAGAGTTCCTTGAGGAAGTATTCCACAAGAAGATGAACCGAGACAAAAGTAATTTCCATCCAACCCCTATACTAAATCTCATTTTTTTGGTTGGGCTTTTTTGTTTGCTTTGATCTCTTGAACAACAAATTAGCGACTTGATGAACTTCATGTATACAGTTACATATATACGTTGCATTCTCACAAACATATCAGCTCGTAAACTGGGTAGCTTTCAAATTTTGGCCACCAAATAAACCAATAAATGGGATATGAATCACCTGCGCTAATCGTAATAGGCGGATCAATGCTTTCAAAGCATTTGCATCCAAGAGTGGCTCCCCTTCAACTTCAAGCTCTCTGCAAGAGCAGAAGATCCCCTTCGGCCAATCGTAATGCCAACATCTCTATCCATCACTGCCTGTCTGTCAAACCCCAAGCCCGTGGCTACTTCCAAACAAGCTGCGAGCCTGATAATGACTCATTTCTCTATCCCTCAACATTAGCGCTTCAGCAAGTAATGGAGAGGGCAAAGCTGTCAGAACACAAAACCACAAGAAACCACGAAGCTTTTTCAGATAACTTGTCTCTCCATTCATCAGGTCCAACGGTTTTATCTATAGACAGAGAAAGAAGTCGATGTAGAACATGATGCACTATGCCACCATGTCCTAGACTATCTGGTTGATTAGATCCCCGGGGTGGACCCATTTCCAAATCCCGTCTCAGTATAACCCCAACTGCATGCACATACATCAAAAGAATATCACTCAATAACTTGAGGACAAAAGTCACCTTAGCTAGCCCTGCTGATCTTTCTGATTGACTGTCTGATTCAATCTTATTTGCCTCATCAACCTTCGATTTACCCTTTACCTTGGTAGCAGGTTCATCAACCTCCATTGCACTTGGATAATTTGTGCAATCGTCCTCACCGCTTGGTGAAGGAAATTTCATTACAATTTCAAGAAGATGATCAATTACCATAGTAAGACTTGCAGGAATTCTTTTGTGGCCTTTAGAACACTTAGCTGGGCCATCATGGGTTTTATTTTCAGGGATTCGAACACATTCATTAGAAGATACCCCCAGTTCAACACCAGATACCTTTGACTTTTCCTTATCTTTCTCTTTTTCTTCTGATAACACAACAAAGGTCCTTCCTCCTGATGACTCCAACTGACAAACAGCAGCTGCTGCTTTCATTAAGACCTCTGCGTCTCTAGACATAACAGGTGACATTGATGTCAAAAATGCACGTGGAGAAATACGACCAGTATGACGATTTCCACTTAGAGTTTGTNCCTTATTCTGATCCACACTTGGTGAAGAGAGTGAGCTGAGAGTCTGCAGAACACGAAGGATTGCAGCCCCCGCCATTGATCCGGCACTCAAACCCAGCATGTGTGTATTCCTTATTGTGGNGTCGTATCTCCAATTCCATGGCTGTCTGCAGGGTCTGAGGATCCTCAAGGAGATGCCGAATGATAGCAGATGCCAAGGTATCATACCCAGGAAAGAAGCAACTTCTTGGAAGGCTAAAAAGAGCAACCAAGCCTCCATTTTCGAGAAATTGCAGAGCCAGAGAATNTGAGCTAAATCTGAAAGCTCCATAATAAAGAATTTTCGATGGGAAGCAGCAACCAAGACCAACTTTTTCAGCACCTCCTCAGCAATAGTGTAAACTTTGTCTGAGAGCCTGATCGATAAAAAGACTGGGTTACACACTCAAAGAGTGCAACAAAATACTAGAAGCAAAGNTGTTGTCTTATCAAGTCACAAGCAACAACCAATACCCTTCGACTCTCGTCAACAGTCAAATAGCCAGTAGAGTTTCCAAAAATTCTCTCAAATGAAGTATCAGAGTCTTTATCATGGGCTGCTGGAGTTGGATTTCTCTCTTTTACTGCTTCTGAAACAGACAATGAAACATGCTCCCCAGATNATTGTCAGAACTCAGACTCTAGAAATAAGACTAAGGCAGAAATAATACCCTTCATGGCCAAGAAGGCTGGGCTGCACAGATTGTGGCATCTGTAAGAAGATATCATACATATTGGTGCTTCTCTGTCCCTCTGATTTATGTAACTCACCACTTGCACTTAAATCACCTTGAATAGCTTCCATTTCTGACAAAGGAGGATCTTTTGGGACATCACTCACAGTTTCATTGCCAGACAGATTTTGAGAACTGACTGNAAACACATATAAATACACATAAAAAATAAACTGTTTAACATAAAACACATATCATAACACACCAAAAGATGCATTGATTGAAGAATACATAAATCACTAATATACAAAAAAACACATTGTTTCACATAAAACAACACACTAATACACAAAAAAACACACACAAAGTGTACAAATACATTGATAAAAGAAAAGTACACAGTACACACAGAGAAACACATAATAGAAACACATTGTTTCACATAAAAAGCAAATACCATAACACACCAAAAGATATACACATACACAATATNCATGAGGTTGAATGATAGCACCATTTTACAGGAGCTTACTCACACCTGTTCGAGATGAGCAATGCTGCGCAAGAAAAGCGGTTGACTCAAGAGTTTAAGAAACAGTATCACAGGAACATCCCCCTTCCGAGAACCTCCTAAAGAGTCTGACGAATATCCTAGTTCCACAATTTTCTCCTTGCCTTTACCCTTCTTGGTTTCCAAATATTTTTGATTTGATGACTCTGGAATAAGTGACGGATCAAAGTAAAACAAGATATTGGCAACCGCAGAATGATTGGCGGCCAGATAAGTCAAAATCTCAAGAATACGACACAGCACCAGGGGAGGCAGACCTGCAAACGAACAAACTTGTGAATTAGAGGTCAGCATGTTCACTTATTTTGGGAAAAAAAAATCTCTTCATATAAAAATCAAACAAATGTTGTCAATCTAAAAGCAGTAGGTACCGTCCAACAACTGAGATTGACCATATACAACATTGGATTGACAACCATATAGCCTCTGGGAGTTAACTGTCAACAATCTGCCAACTGGGCCTTCAGTCTCTGGCCCAATCATGTCAAGCAGAAGGCGAACTAGAATTGCCCTTGTACGGCTATGTGCACATAAGTTTAACAGAAGTCTCTGCAAAAGGCCTTTCCCAAGAGGCTGCAAGCATATTAAAGAAATAAGATTCACCACTTAAGTTGAACATCAACATAGTTTACAAAATAAATATATGAAAATTGTTTGCCCAACCAAATTAAAGAAATTATGCAGACAATTTTGTTCCAGGTTCTAACTGCAATAAAAGTTCCAAAAAATCAAAGTTCTGAGCTATTCAAAAATTTATCAATTTACAATAAGAAGTTATTCACATCAGGGAACGCCATGGCTGCATCATCTCGACCAAAAACAAAAGTTAACATGAAACCAAAGCCAATTATCCTTGTTCATTCTTTCATAAGTAACAAGAATTAACTAAAAGATATTAAGAAGTACCAGGTTGGAAAAATAAGAGATCCTTCTTCAACCAGAAAAGGCTGAAAGCAAAAAGAAATGTATTGTCCACTAAAGATTTTCCCCAAAAAAAACCCCAGAGTTCCCTGAGGAAGTATTCCACAAGAAGATGAACCGAGACAAAAGTAATTTCCATCCAACACCTATACTAAATCTCATTTTTTTGGTTGGGCTTTTTTGTTTGCTTTGATCTCTTGAACAACAAATTAGCGACTTGATGAACTTCATGTGTACAGTTACATATATACGTTGCATTCTCACAAACATATCAGCTGGTAAGCGGGGTAGCTCTCAAATTTTGGCCACCAAATAAACCAATAAATGGGATATGAATCACCTGCGCTAATCGTAATAGGTGGATCAATGCTTTCAAAGCATTTGCATCCAAGAGTGGCTCCCCTTCAACTTCAAGCTCTCTGCAAGAGCAGAAGATCCCCTTCGGCCAATCGTAATGCCAACATCTCTATCCATCACTGCCTGTCTGTCAAACCCCAAGCCCGTGGCTACTTCCAAACAAGCTGCGAGCCTGATAATGACTCATTTCTCTATCCCTCAACATTAGCGCTTCAGCAAGTAATGGAGAGGGCAAAGCTGTCAGAACACAAAACCACAAGAAACCACGAAGCTTTTTCAGATAACTTGCCTCTCCATTCATCAGGTCCAACGGTTTTATCTATAGACAGAGAAAGAAGTCGATGTAGAACATGATGCACTATGCCACCATGTCCTAGACTATCTGGTTGATTAGATCCCCGGGGTGGACCCATTTCCAAATCCCGTCTCAGTATAACCCCAACTGCATGCACATACATCAAAAGAATATCACTCAATAACTTGAGGACAAAAGTCACCTTAGCTAGCCCCACTGATCTTTCTGATTGACTGTCTGATTCAATCTTATTTGCCTCATCAACCTTCGATTTACCCTTTACCTTGGTAGCAGGTTCATCAACCTCCATTGCACTTGGATAATTTGTGCAATCGTCCTCACCGCTTGGTGAAGGAAATTTCATTACAATTTCAAGAAGATGATCAATTACCATAGTAAGACTTGCAGGAATTCTTTTGTGGCCTTTAGAACACTTAGCTGGGCCATCATGGGTTTTATTTTCAGGGATTCGAACACATTCATTAGAAGATACCCCCAGTTCAACACCAGATACCTTTGACTTTTCCTTATCTTTCTCTTTTTCTTCTGATAACACAACAAAGGTCCTTCCTCCTGATGACTCCAACTGACAAACAGCAGCTGCTGCTTTCATTAAGACCTCTGCGTCTCTAGACATAACAGGTGACATTGATGTCAAAAATGCACGTGGAGAAATACGACCAGTATGACGATTTCCACTTAGAGTTTGTCGTATCTCCAATTCCATGGCTGTCTGCAGGGTCTGAGGATCCTCAAGGAGATGCCGAATGATAGCAGATGCCAAGGTATCATACCCAGGAAAGAAGCAACTTCTTGGAAGGCTAAAAAGAGCAACCAAGCCTCCATTTTCGAGAAATTGCAGAGCCAGAGAATGTTTTTGTCAACCGAGCACATAATTGTAAAACAGACTGCATGACCATAGCTGGGACATGTTGTCTTATCAAGTCACAAGCAACAACCAATACCCTTTGACTCTCGTCAACAGTCAAATAGCCAGTAGAGTTTCCAAAAATTCTCTCAAATGAAGTATCAGAGTCTTTATCATGGGCTGCTGGAGTTGGATTTCTCTCTTTTACTGCTTCTGAAACAGACAATGAAACATGCTCCCCAGATGAGTCAGGTAAAGGTCCCCCAGGAGTTCCCTCTGTAATATCAGCAGATATTCTAGGCCTGGATTGCAACAAATTATCCAAGATAAGTAGTAGAGCACTAACACATTTTGGTACCACTAGCTCATTTCCTGACTCAGTTCTTGCTTTGAAGTTCATCAGAATATCGATGGCTACATTGGCAATACCATTCTTTGCAACGATCTCTCGCGTACTTCCATCTTCAGAAAGAAGCAATGCTAAAGTATGCGATATCATACACAAAGCACTGGCATCCTTAGAAAATTCCAATGGGCAAAGCTTTAGCTCCTGAATAAGATAAGAGATCACTCTTGGGCGATCTTCACCTTTGTTCTGACTGCAAAGCGTAACAAACAAATCAGTCAAAGGAAAAGCCATCCAGTCACTACTCTGAAACAATTTCATCGTTGCAGCAAGAATGTCATCCACAGGGGGTTCCTTTGTTCGTCCATCGTCTTTGAGGGTATCGATGGACTTATCAATGCTTTCAACTTTAGATGTCTCCGATGAACTTCCTAGTGACAAAGCAAGTGCCCCGTGCCAATTCATCATCCTCCTGAACAGGATCTTCAACATGACTAAACAACCATTCCATGGCCGTCTCAACACTATTTGTTTCCACCNAGAAACAGTATCACAGGAACATCCCCCTTCCGAGAACCTCCTAAAGAGTCTGACGAATATCCTAGTTCCACAATTTTCTCCTTACCTTTATCCTTCTTGGTTTCCAAATATTTTTGATTTGATGACTCTGGAATAAGTGACGGATCAAAGTAAAACAAGATATTGGCAACAGCAGAATGATTGGCAGCCAGATAAGTCAAAATCTCAAGAATACGACACAGCACCAGGGGAGGCAGACCTGCAAACGAACAAACTTGAGAATTAGAGGTCAGCATGTTCACTTATTTTNCCCGTCTCAGTGCTTCCTCTGCTCTTGCCCTGCTAAAACCCATCTCCACAATTGTGGTAATAGTAGCTTCATCAGGTGGGGGTGCTATATAGCGTTGGTTTGTACTTCCTGACCCACCATTGCGATTGCACTTCACATCTCCAACACCACAGTATACATGAGTAACAAGCGAAACAATAGAGGCAATGAAACCCGGATTACACTTTGGAAACATAGAGTGGTTCCAGACAGGAAGTATTACATCCAGAACCTGAGACTGCAGCATACGGACAAACACCTCTGGGTCTCTTGGAACAGGAAATAACCCAATTGATAAACCAACTGCAACAGGCTGAACAAGTAGCTGAGCCTGGGATGCAGAGTTTGGAGATAGAAGCAAAGAAGAATTTACAAAATACTCCAGTAAACTGCAATAGCTCTGCCATGTATCAAGCAGCCATGGACTGTGAGACAACTTGCTTCCCTCAACACCTTTCCCTTGATTAATACCAGATGCTGGAATAGAGTAAGGCAGTGTCCATAACAATTGACTTGTAGCCAATGCAGTTCCAATGCTCTTTGAAGCTAAACTCAATAACCCAGTTTCAGTTCTTTGATGGTTTGGCGAAGTCAATCCTTTCACAAGAGCAGTCAAGAAAGACCGCAAAGAAGAAGCAAGTTTGTTAAGAATTTCTAAAAGAGCAGAATATCAACAATTGCTTAGCAAATGAATTACATCACTACAAGAAACATTGGTGCGTCACCATCTTCATTGACATATATATAAATAACTTGTTCATATGTTGATATAAAATTGACCACCAAAAAAATACAAAAGAATATATAAATCAAATTTTACTCGCGGGAGAACTCAAAATTCAAATCTACAGTTTCTGATATAGATGTGGCTTGGTAAAAACGAGAGCAAGATTATGGTTCTCTCCCCCATATGCTCCTACTAACTCCACTACAAGGACATGAATAACCTCCAATGATAAACACATGCACACACAAAAACAAGCCACACAAAAACAAGCCTACAAAGATGCATGGATCAAACAAAAATACACAGCACACTAATACACAAGAAAAACACACAAAGTGTACAAATACATTAATAAAAGAAGAGTACATAATATACACAGAGATACACATAATAAAAACACACTGTTTCACATAAAAAGCATATCCCATAACACACCAAAAGATATACACATACTATACAACGATACACCACATAGTAAAACACACGGAGTGTAGATATGAAAATATACACACAAAAAATCATTTATAAAAGAAAAATACATACCATACACCGATACACATTTTTAAACACGGACAAACTATACACATGAAAATACAAACAAAATCATTGATAAAACATAAAACATATAAACACAAAACTCACTACCTAGGTAACCATCTATGTACAAGTAATCATTAACTCCACCAATTGCAGACCACAAACATGTCAAAGAACATCTCAACGAAGAAGAAAAATAATGATTGAAAAAGAGGAAAATAGTAGAATATTCACCAATAACTTATATATATTGATATAAATTGATTGCCAAAAGAATAGAAAAGAACATATAAATAAAATTTTACTTGCGAAAGAACTCAAAATTCAAATCTATAATTTCTGATATAGATTTGGCTAGAAAAAATGAGAGCAAAATTATAGTTTTCTCCCTAGTCTGCGCTCCTATTAATATTAACTCCACTACAAGGACATAAACAACATCCAATGATAAACACGAAGCACACACAAAGCATACAAAACAAGCTTACAAAGATGTATTGATAGAAGAAAAATACACAATGCACTAATACATAGAAAAAACACACACAAAGTGTACAAATACATTGATAAAAGAAAAGTACACAGTAACACAGAGATACACCTAATAAAAACACATATAAATACACATAAAAAATAAACTGTTTAACATAAAACACATATCATAACACACCAAAAGATGCATTGATTGAAGAATACATAAATCACTAATATACAAAAAAACACATTGTTTCACATAAAACAACACACTAATACACAAAAAAACACACACAAAGTGTACAAATACATTGATAAAAGAAAAGTACACAGTACACATAGAGAAACACATAATAGAAACACATTGTTTCACATAAAAAGCAAATACCATAACACACCAAAAGATATACACATACACAATACAATGATACATCGCATAGTAAGACCCACAAAGTGTAGATATGAAAACAAACACACAAAAAATCATTGATAAAAGAAAAATACATAACACACATTGATACACATTATTAAACACAGATAAACTATATACATAAAAATTCAAACACAATCATTGATAAAACATAAAACATATACAAACAAAACTCACTACCTAGGTAACCATGTATGTACAAGTAATCATTAACTCCACCAATTGCAGACCACAAACATGTCAAAGAACATCTTAAAGAAGACGAAGAATTATCGAAACAGGGGAAGGGAGCAGCATATTCACCAATAACTTGCATGTGTTGATATAAATTGATCNCGCCAATTCATCATCCTCCTGAACAGGATCTTCAACATGACTAAACAACCATTCCATGGCCATCTCAACACTGTTTGTTTCCACCCGTCTCAGTGCTTCCTCTGCTCTTGCCCTGCTAAAACCCATCTCCACAATTGTGGCAATAGTAGCTTCATCAGGTGGGGGTGCTATATAGCGTTGGTTTGTACTTCCTGACCCACCATTGCGATTGCACTTCACATCTCCAACACCACNAAGTTAACTGTCAACAATCTGCCAACTGGGCCTTCAGTCTCTGGCCCAATCATGTCAAGCAGAAGGTGAACTAGAATTGCCCTTGTACGGCTATGTGCACATAAGTTTAACAGAAATCTCTGCAAAAGGCCANAGCGTTGGTTTGTACTTCCTGACCCACCATTGCGATTGCACTTCACATCTCCAACACCACAGTATACATGAGTAACAAGCGAAACAATAGAGGCAATGAAACCCGGATTACACTTTGGAAACATAGAGTGGTTCCAGACAGGAAGTATTACATCCAGAACCTGAGACTGCAGCATACGGACAAACACCTCTGGGTCTCTTGGAACAGGAAATAACCCAATTGATAAACCAACTGCAACAGGCTGAACAAGTAGCTGAGCCTGGGATGCAGAGTTTGGAGATAGAAGCAAAGAAGAATTTACAAAATACTCCAGTAAACTGCAATAGCTCTGCCNTTGAGGAAGTATTCCACAAGAAGATGAACCGAGACAAAAGTAATTTCCATCCAACCCCTATACTAAATCTCATTTTTTTGGTTGGGCTTTTTTGTTTGCTTTGATCTCTTGAACAACAAATTAGCGACTTGATGAACTTCATGTGTACAGTTACATATATACGTTGCATTCTCACAAACATATCAGCTGGTAAGCGGGGTAGCTCTCAAATTTTGGCCGCCAAATAAACCAATAAATGGGATATGAATCACCTGCGCTAATCGTAATAGGTGGATCAATGCTTTCAAAGCATTTGCATCCAAGAGTGGCTCCCCTTCAACTTCAAGCTCTCTGCAAGAGCAGAAGATCCCCTTCGGCCAATCGTAATGCCAACATCTCTATCCATCACTGCCTGTCTGTCAAACCCCAATCCCGTGGCTACTTCCAAACAAGCTGCGAGCCTGATAATGACTCATTTCTCTATCCCTCAACATTTGCGCTTCAGCAAGTAATGGAGAGGGCAA